CCGAGTAGACAATCCCCCTTTACAAATTTTGGGGAACGAAACTTGACCTTTTGGCCCCAACTAGCTGAAATTTGCCCTTGAAAAAGGGGTCCCTGCCCCCGGGCCCGTTTGCGTTTGGGATCGGAGCGCGTGTTTAGTGGGGGCAGGGGGGATTTCAACTCCCGCGTTGGCACGACTTCCACAAACCAAAAATGGGGGAAAGACTACGTTTGGGGAAAAAGAATCAGGGGTTTTGGGTTAGTCTGGATTTCAAACCACCAGTTCCGACACAACTGACTAAATCCGCCATGAATCCCCTTCCCCCAAAAATGTGCCACTTTCAAAGGGCTCCTCACCCTGCTGGTTTGTTCCCTTTTTTGTCATAGGGTCTGGCAATTAAGGGCCTTTCCCTAACCCGCTGGGCCAAACCCCCAATTTTGCCATGGGCCCCCCGGTACCGCCTCCTCAAGCGCTTTCCAGGGGCCCACAGTGTCCCCATTGGGCCAAAGTGCCCCTTTTCACGTCTCTTCACACTGCTGGTGTGGTTTGAATTTTTCTTGACTATAGTGCAGCAAGGCAGATTACGAGGCCTCACATAGTCTGCTTCCAGCAGGCCCCTGCTCTGCTACTGGGCCTCTGCTCCGAGCCCTCCCTCATCGCTGCTGCCAGGTCCAGGTCTGTCATGGGTCCCTGTACGGCACCTACCCATAATGCTCCTGTCTTCCATACGCCACCACTCTGCCCCATGTTGCCACTTTCAGGTCCCTTACACTGCTGGTGTGTTCCTCCTTGTTTTTGTCACTACGGGAGTCCGTGCTGGCAGATCACGGGCCTCCTATAGGCTGCTGCCAGGCCCCCTAATCTGCCATGGGCCCCTGTACAGCCTCCTCATGCTGCTGCCAAGGTCCACAGTGTCCCTCATGCCATGTGCCACTTTCCAGGTCTCCATCACACTGCTGGTGTGTTGAATTTTTTGACATAGGGTGCTGGCAGATTACGGGCCTCCCATAGCTGCTGCCAGTTGGCAATGCCCCTAATCTGGGCCATGGCCCCTATACACCGCCTCCTCATGCTGCTGCAAGTCCAGAGTCTGTTCATGGGTCCCTGTACGGACTCCCATTGCTGCTGTCTCCATCGCCACACTCTGCCATATTGGGGCCACTTTCAGGTCTCCTCACTACTGCTGGTGTGTTGATTTTTTGACATTGGGTGCTGGCAGATTTACGGGCCTCTTATAGCTGCTGCCAGGGCCCCTAATCTGCCATGGGCCCCCAGTACCGACTCCTCATGCTGCTGCTGCCAGGCCGTAAATCTGTATGTGCCCCTGTTGTCACTTGTTGGCATATTCCGCTTGTTCAGATGCTCCTTCTCCTGCTTACTACTCCTCTTCACGGATTCCGTCAGCAGTCTTTCTTGGAATCCGTTTCCAAGAGACAACAGTTTGCGAGCACGCACCCGACGGTGCAGAAGCTGAACGTCCTCCTGTCCAAGTTGCTGCTGCCAGGCTCGTAATCTGTCATGCACCCCTGTACCGCCTCCTCATGCTGCTGCCAGGTCCAGAGTGTGTCATGGGCCCCCGTACCGACTCCTCATGCTGCTGCCAGGCCCGTAATCTGTTATGGGCCCCTGTACCGCCTCCCCATGCTGCTGCCAGGTCCAGAGTGTGTCATGGGTCCCTGTACGGCCTCCCATTGCTGCTGCCAGGCCCGTAATCTGCCATGGGCCCCCCCCGTACCAACTCCTCATGATGCTGCCAGGCCCGTAATCTGTCATGGGCCCCTGTACCGCCTCCTCATGCTGCTGCCAGGTCCAGAGTGTGTCATGGGTCCATGTACGGCCTCCCATTGCTGCTGTCTCCATCGCCACACTCTGCCATGTGCCACTTTCAGGTCTCCTCACACTGCTGGTGGTTTCCATTTTTGTCATAGATTGCTGTATGGCCTCCCAATTTAGCTGCCTCCCACCGCCACACTGTGGCTCCACACTCTGGTTTTGGCCCCGTGACTGCCCAAATGAGTGAAGTGTGTGGCGGTGATTCTAAGATCGACGGCACTCATCTGCATGTCATACTGACTGTCAGTATTATTTCTCTTCCCCAGCAGACTCCAAGGGCATTTAAATTAAAGGTACAGTGTTCTGCACTAATATAAAGTCTCTCTGAAGCCTAGAAACACCCTTTTATAAGTTAAATTCGCAGCGAATATATTCGACTCGAATCAAAATTTTTCCACGAATTCGCCGAATCAGTCGAATCGAATTTTTGAATACTTCGCCTCATCTCTATTCATAACACTGCCCCAAACTACATCACCGATCTTGTCTCCAAATACCACCCAAAACGTACTCTTCGCTCCTCACAAGCCCTCTTACTCTCTAGCTTCCTGGTCTCCTCCTCCCATGCTTGTCTCCAGGACTTTTCCAGGGCTTCCCCCATCCTCTGGAACTCCCTACCCCAATCCATCAGACTATCGCCTATTCTGCTCACCTTTTAGGCGTACTCTGAAAACCTATCTCTTCAGGGAAGCCTACCCGCCCTCAGCTAATTACTGAAACTCCTCCACTCTTCCTACCACTCCATCCCCCACAGATATTTCCTCCTGTACCACTATCCTATCCCTCCTAGATTGTAAGCTCCAAGGAGCAGGCCCTTGAACCACTCGTGTATCGAAGCGTATTGTTACTGTACTGACTTGTGTACTGTCTCCCACCATATTGTAAAGTGCTGAGCAAACTGTCGGCCCTATATAAATCCCGTAGAATAATAATAATCTACAGTGATCTGTTTTGTCAAAAGATTGATGTGTTTTTTCAGATACCTGGCCTAGTTGCATTGAATGTAAGCCCACTGTAGACCCTATTCAATTCTGATTAATATCAATGCATGGTGTTATAATTAATTTGTTAAATTTCCAGATGATCTCTATAATGTTGATTTTACTACTGTGTATATCAGATGTTGGCACTGTGTATTAAAACGGGAAGAGGTCATTTTGAAATTATATTTTGTTAATTTTGAATTTAGCTACCAGGCTTATACCTTCATATATGATTTCATTGTTTAACCGCCTCCCACCCGCCATATAGTGTAATGATGAGCGCAAGGCGGTTCTCTTGTTCTGGGAGGACATCGTATGATGTCGTCCCACTCTAACCATGCATGCGCGGGCTCCGGGGGCGCACAGCACGGTGATCGGTGGTGCGCTGTGTCCCTCGGACACAGTGGATCACCAATCAGCGGAAAGAGCCAAAGATGTCCGCTTGTTCATGTGATCAGCTGTGTCCAATCACAGCTGATCACATGTAAATAGGGAAATTCTGGTTATCGACATTTCTCTCCTCACAAGCTGTCACGCTGACAGCTTGAGAGGAGAGGAGAGGGGAGCCGGTAATCAGCATTCCTCGGAGGGGACATGTGCACTTATCATCAGGGCACTGATGATCAGTATGCCCTGATGATCAGTGTAGCCCCAGAAGTGCCACCTGTCAGTGCCCATCAATGCCACCTGCCAGTGCCCATCAGTGCCTCATCACTGCCTCATATCAGTGCCCATCTGAGCTGCCTTTCAGTGTCACCTATCAGTGCCAGTCAGTGCCACCTATCAGTGCCAGTCAGTGCCGCCTATCAGTGCCAGTCAGTGCTGCCTATCCGTGTGCATCAGTGCCGCCTAACAGTGCCAGTAAGTGCCGCCTATCAGTGCCAGTAAGTGCCGCCTATCAGTGCTGCCTCTCAGTGCCCATCAGTGATGCCTGTCAATGCCCATCAGGGCCACCTACTAGTGCCTCCCCATCAGTGCCCATCAATGACACCTATCGGTGCCCATCAGTGCAGCCTATCAGTGCCCATCACTGCAGCCTCATTGCGCACATCAGTGAAGGAGAAATATCACTTATTTACAACATTTTATAACAAAAAACTAAGAAAAAAAACTTTTTTTCAAATTTTTCAGTTGCTTTTGGTTTGTTTAGCAAAAAATAAAAACCCAGAGGTGATTAAATACCACCAAAAGAAAGCTCTATCTGTCTCAAAAAAATGATAAAAAAGTTCATATGGGTTCAGTGTTGCATGACCGCACAATTGTCATTCAAAGTGTGACAGCGCTGAAAGCTGAAAACTGGCCTGGGCAGGAAGGGCCCTGTAGGCTAGTGGTTAAACATGGTAATTCATTCTCTAATACAAGAATCCTTAGTTATTCTTCTACAACCTCAAAGTCTGAAAAATAATATAAGACCACATAAAAAACTCAATAACAATAACTAGAAGTAAGGATACTCTTTATAAAAAATGTGATTGTCTGGTCCTGAATAACACTTACTTTTATAAAAAATGTGATTGTCTGGTTCTGAATAATTAAATTAATGTCCCTTGCTTTCTCCCATCCCTGTTGGAATCTAGGGTGGGAGAAAGCAAGTATAGACTTCAGTGGGGTATTTTATCTATAATATATGATTTTTATAAAGCATAAACGAGCAAAGCAAAAGTACTGGAGGAAAAATACATGACTTTACGAATAATATTTTGTGAAATGAAACAAAAATAGCATAGTTTTTGTACTTTCGAGATTTGCAAGTTGATTTAGGATAGCCTACAACATGCAGTGACAATCTAGTTCTGATTATAGGGATACCAAAAAAAGGTTTTGTTCTAGAGGAGGGTGGTTAAAGTGGTTAAAAAAGCAACTTTGAGCCAAATGTTTATACAGCATTTCTGCCTATTGCATCACCTTTGCAGGTTACAAATTGCATACACATGGGCTGAGTTAATCCCAAACCATGTGCTGCCCATGCAGTAAGCTCTGTTGTCAATAGAAATATGGTCTTACAACCACTATAAAAAATTTCAGTGACATAGCTAAAAATTTAGAAATGTAATTTTTTTTTACAGTTTTACCATTGGTACAGTATGACACTCGCATTGCATGCTTCTGATTGTGACCAGAATTGCAACAAAGTTCGGCTTCCTCAGGAGCAGGAGGAGTCAAATAACTGCAAAAACATCAAAAAGCATTCATTAATACACATATATAGAATATTTACATAAAACACTTGCCATATGATGACCACTCCTTACCTGTGCAAAAAAGATGGAAAAAAAACAACATGTTGCAGCCCAGGTGAGGACCAAGGGAAGGGGGGGGGGGGATGGTCCCATCCTCATCTTAAATAGTCTTCTGATTGGCCACCTTGGTCACCACCCAGGTGTCAGAAAATGTTGCGGGGAATAGGAAAGGTGGCAGCCATTAAACACACCAGCTCCAGGCACATGCATGCTCCAATGGTAGACGGACAGCATCTGATGTCATAGTGGCCCTGTACTATGGGGCACCAACCCCAAAGATGGCATTGGCATGTGCAAGCACTTATATTTATGCACAGCAACAAATCACCTTATAATATCCCAGAAAAGTTACCCACCTCCACCCTTGAAGGCTAATTAAACAAAGATATAAAACTTTTCCCTTTCACAAAATAAATGACAATAAAATAAAAATAAAATAAAACCAACAAAAAAGACATAAAAAACATAAACATTTTCCAAAATATAAAAAATATCCAAAATTCAAAAATAGTCCCTACAGGTGTAAATAATAATTTTCTTTCTTCTTTCACAAAAACTCCTTCTCAAACTCATATACTGATGGGTAATTACCCTATATAAGAAACATCAGGGCATAACACCACTCTGGTGATACGTCAAGAGAACTTAACCCAGAGTGGTGTTATGCCCTGATGTTTCTTATATAGGGTAATTACCCATCAGGGGGTGAGTTGGAGAGTGTTGTTTTGGGTTTTATATAAAGATTTTTGCATGCTGCACAGTGAGTGGCACGTGTGATGTATTATTTAAAAGGTATGACACTATGTCAAGTTTTTTCTTTTTGAGGTGTACTGTCATCAGGATTTGCGGGTATTGAGAAGGAGTTTTTGTGAAAGAAGAAAGAAAATTATTATTTACACCTGTGGGGACTATTTTTGAATTTTGGATATTTTTATATTTTGGACAATTTTTATGTTTTTTATGTCTTTTTTTTGGTTTTATTTTATTTTTATTTTTATTTTATTGTCATTTATTTGTGAAAGGGAAAAGTTTTATATCTATGTGCAAGCACTGCCTTGACTCTGCCCAAAGGGGATGTCAGGGACCATCGCGACGCATGGGTCTGCACATGCGTAGGTGTCTGTCAAGACATGCAGGCATCAGGGCACTAGGACCGGGGTGCACCCGTCGCCTATGACGGTGCTGGGCAGGCACTAGGACCTAGGCTGTGCCTGTCAGGTGCAGGGCGGGCTACTTAAACCAGCCCTGCACAGACACAAGTTGCCGTATGGCCTGATCTGGTTCCTGTGTTCCCGTTGTTTGAGATTCGTTGCTGACCTGCCTTGACCTGACCTCTGCTGACTTCTCCTGCTCTGACCCCTGGCTAAGTTTGACCTCTCTTTTTGGATATCCCTACCTGATGTGAACTACTGGTACCGACCCCAGCGAGTGACCTGACTATTTTTCTGCCTGCTGCCTTGTACTACGCTGACCCATCTGTTACCGACCTGGCCCGTTTAACCATGCTATTGCTCAGCCATCCATCCAACCCGCACGGATTAGCTGCTACTCTCCAGACCTGTCTGCCATTCATGTCGGGCTCTCTACCTGTCATTACCTCTGGTGATTCCTCTACCTCAGGTGGGTGTACTCAGGGGCCGCAACCTGGTCACTGTCCGCTCCAAGCCCATCCCCACCATCAGGAGCTCTGGTGAACAAGCGAACTGGGGCTTAGACTCCACGCCCTGGGGAATCCTGTCCTGGGGACTGCTAGTGTACACCAGGTGGTCCATAACAGGGGATGAAAACATGGCCCACAATACAGTGGCCAACCCACACAAAGGGAAGGAGATCATTTGGCAGTTCCCATCTACTTCATAACAATGACAAAGTAATTGATGGCAATGGCTTTGGCACTCAACACCTAGCTCACCACTAGGTAGCTCACAATTATTATAATGATGGGGGAAATAGAAAAAAGCAAAATAAAAAAAAATTAAAAATCAAAAAAGGGCCATAGACATCATAAAACAAAGGCTACCTAATTTAACGTCAAGGAAATCCACAATACCATCAAATAGAAAACCCCAAAGGGAGAATTTATACAGGACTGGGCAGCACAGTGGCTAAATGGTCAGCACTTCTTCCTGGCAACACCAGGGCCATTGGTTCAAATCCTGACCATGGCACCACCTGCCTGGAGTTTGCATGTTCTCCCTGTGTGTCAGGGAGCGAGGAGCCAGACACACAAGGAGGTGCAATTAAAGGTAGGTTTATTAATATAAAAATAACACAAGAGTCTATGGAAGTCCAACAGCGGAAATCGTAGCCAAAGCCGGGGTCAAGAGCCAGGAAGAATCGTCGCCAGTGCCGGGATCAGCTGCCAGGAAGAATGGTCACCAGAGCTGGGATCAGGAGCCAGGAAGAATGGTCGCCAGAGCCGAGTCGGTATCCAGGAAAGCAATGAGTAGCTAAACAGGAGCTTGTTGTTGTGCAACAGACAGGACACGAATGCAATGGACAGCCACAAACAGTAGACTTATATGTGATAAGCCGCCACCTCCTGGGGGAGGAGCCGCAGAGGGCTGAAAGCATAAAGGACCCCACAATGCTTTTGCAGACACCTAAGATGGATGCCAGCACATGGAGCAGCACAAGGACTGAAGAAAGGTAGGACCTTGACACTGTGCCTGCGTGGGTTTCCTCCGGTTACTCTGGTTTCCTCCCACACTTCAAAGACATGCAGGTAGGTTAATTGGTTCCTGTTTAAATTGGCCCTAGTATGTGTATGAATGTGAGTTAGGGACCTTAGATTGTACGCCCCTTGAGGGTTAGGGACTGATGTGAATGTACAATATAGATGTAAAGCGCTGGGTAAATTGATGGCGCTATATAAGCACCTGTAATAAATAAATAACCCAACATCCATCAATTGGTATATAAAAACTAAGATCTTTAATATGGGCAGCACAGTGGCTAAAAGGGTTGGCACTCCCATCTAGCAGCACTAAGGTCATTGGTTTAAATCTCAACCATGGCACTACCTACAAGGAGTTTGTATGTTCATCATATGCCTGTGTGAGTTTTCTTCTGGGTACTCCAGTTTCCTCCCACACTCCAAAGACATGATGGTAGCTTAATTGGCTCCTGTCTAAATTGGCCGCGGTATGTGTATGTATGAATGTGAGTTAGGGACCTTGGCTTGTACACTGCTTTAGGGTTACAGACAGATGTGAATGTATATATGTAAAGCGCTGCGTAAATTGATGGCGCCATATAAGTACCTATAATAAAAATAAATAAATAATATAAAAGATTACAGAAAAGGCTTGTAACGAATACCAGGATGTGTACTTGCTTTCAAGTGCTCAATTCAACATGTTTCTTGTAATATGCAAATCTCAAAATCTCCCCTTTGAAGGTCCTCATAAATCTTCTCATGCGCCATAAATACATGACAGAAACATCATAAATGTGTACTAGACGCATATGTTTGTTAATCGGTGATATGATCTTCCTGTTACTAATATAGTATACATGGTCATGAATTAATTGTTTTAAAACGTTTCTTGGTCTTACCAAAGTACAATGCTCCACAGTCATAGGTCAAGTTATACTGGCATCTTTAATACTTTGAAAAATATCTACAGGAGAAAATTTGTCCTAGAAGGCTGAGGATACAAATCTTCACAAACATTCTTATGATGTCCCCTAGTCTGAAAGTAGAACTG